ATTGTTTCATTTTCAGTATGAGGAGCCTTGTGCACATCAATATGTAAGTAGTTGTTTCAATTAAATCCAAAGATCTCATAAATATATGTCTGCAGTCAACTTTTATATCCAGAAAAGTTTCAGGAGATTTTTTTTAACCAAAAATTAAAGCAATGATACAAAACCTTATACACTTAGTCGAAATATTGCAATTTTGATTTAATTTCAAGTTGCAGCTACCAATTTGTATCTGAAAGCAATCCAAACAAATTAAATTTTCAGCTTGAAAAAAAATTTAAATCAGACTTTCCATTTAATTTTTGGCAAAGAGTTGTATCAGATTGTATAAAAAGTTCAGCTTATATAAACACAACATCAAATATGAACGAATTGAAAATTCCAAAAGATAACAAGTAACAAAGAGTTTTGAGATAAGATCAAATTTTGTAAAACAATATTCTTTGTCATATTGTTGAAAGATATATGATTTCAAAATTTTCTTCAAAAAGTGAAAAAATTGGCCATCTAAAAAAATGGTCATTGAAAATTATTACAAGAAGATTTAAAGATTATATTGCATACCAGAATGACAATATGACTAATTTTTTCTTGATGACAATTATATTCTATGATTCCAATGATACTTTTTTGCACTTCAATTTTGTACATTAGAGACAGATAATTTTTTAAGATCTCTATTCACATCATGTTTTTTGTAAATGAACTTTTTGAATATCTATTTGATGTAAAAGAATTTAATCTTAGTACTATGCAGTCATCTTTAATAGATTAGATCTGTAGATAATTTTTTTTGATGATTTTGTGCATTTTATTAAGCTTTAGGCATACATTTAATATGAAAAATATCTTAAAACACTATATTAGACACATAAGGTCATTTTTTCTAGCCATGATATCAGTTCATATGACTAATATCATGGCTAAAAATGGTTTATTTTGAAAAAAAATTGTCACAAAATTTGATGTATGCTATAAAAAACACTAAGTATGAAAAACGCAAATATTTGAATATCACATAGAGATTGATTACTATGCCTTCAAGACTAAGTCATATTTTTGCATTAAATCATTTTTTTTCCACAAGAAAATTTTCATCTCTACAGCACTGTATGCTCAAGTAGTTAGAATATTTTTGGAGCATTATTTGTCAAAAAGCAGCATCGAATTAGTCTTGGCGTTAGAAATTATATTTCTAAGAAATTTAATTACTTCTTTGAATTTTTACATAATCATGTGAGAAATCCAGCCCTTATCTCCTCAAATTCTACTTTGTATATTTTATACATAATTAGTTGAGATTGTGTGAATATTGTACTCTACATCAGAAATTAAATTTGTTGTCATCTTCAAGAAGTAAGTACAGTAGTCAAAGTTGAGAAATCCTTTAGGATTCAAGCACAGTCTTGACTATTGCTTCTATCATCTTCGTTGCCTAGTCCGTGACACCTTGCAAATATGCTTATGGGTATTCACCTTTTAAACTTTCAAGCAAAAAAATATATTGATTGCGAATAAAATCTTATATAGAATATTTTTCTTTCATGTAGTCCTAATAAAAAATGTTCCTGCATTTGAAGATATACTGTTTCTTGTTTAGAGATATTATTTTGATCTAGGAATTGTTTATGTATAGATCTTTTCAAACTATATGATATGTTTTACTATAGGATCTGCAAGGAATGCACATAGCTTAGCTCTTACATGTCCTCCGGTTGGACTGTTGTTATGGTGACGAAGCTACTCGAGGCGCCAAGTGATTACGAAGCCACCTGACCCTTCGAATTAATCATCTGCGGAAAATTAATGAGAAATTAAAGGGAGGTGACCTTTGCAGTGAACGATTCAACAGACATGCAGGTTGGCATAGTTCAGACGCGGCGATGAGATTGCCCCCGACGTACCCAACACTTGGACCTTGATCCTGCGCGTCAGAGTCGGCACATTTTGCAATTGCCAACAAGTGTCCAACGAAAAGGAAGTTCAGAAGAACGGAGGTTCTGATGCAGACGGCCGAAAGTGCTCATTTGGTGGTATGTGGTGGCTAGATGGCTGGACATGAAATCCAGAAGCTAAATCGAACCTGGAGCTCTTTGACTCCTGATCGAAGGCGGCGAACCTTGTACAACCTCCAAGAAAAAGTAAGGGACATCATTTTCTCATCATTTCGCCGCTGGCCCACTTGGAAATCTGTCTGCTCCAGTTTGAGATGTCGCCTCCCTCGAAAGAGTTGCTCCAACACTTGCTCACGAAATCATTGTAGTGTCTTCTGCAGATGTCTGTATCAGATCCCCAGGCCTCCATAATACAATTATGACGAATCATTCTGTATCCTGATTAAAAGATCTCGAGAGGACCTCTGGTGTCCTCGGTTGCAGCACCTCAAGTGTGGTAGGAGTAGAGTACAAATACTGTCCCTATATTCCATGTTGACATCGCTGAACTATGTATGGCCCTCCAGTTTACAGAGCCCAAGGGATAGTCTCATTTGCAACTTGATGGTGCTTGTGATGACTGGGCTGTTGAGTGCTTCTGAGCGTAGTCAGTTTAAGCTTCGCACTTTTTGGTGCACACTTTTCCCAAGCTTAAGAAAGGTGGACCACGTTTCTGAATCTATGTTATGCTTGGCATGTGCGTGGGATTTGTGCTCTCAGCTGTCCTTGGTGGCGGAGATTTGGCATCGATATGTCGGAGCTGACAATTTCATTCGAAAGCTAGAACTTGAGATTAATCAGTTCAGAAGTTGCCACAAATTTTTACCTTTCTTATCTTCGTAAGTTACTTTCCTTCTGAAAAATAATTTAAGATCGAGGGAGAAGGTCACCAACTGATTCAACACTTAGCCTTCAAGAATAAGTCCCTTTGGATTTGTTATCTTAGGACGTATGTCACCAGGAAGAAAAATGTTTGAAGATTTTTTTGGTTTCTTTAGACAATATGTTCGATACCTGTTTCCACCGAGCTCATATCACAGAGGATGCTCTTTCAAAGTGCCAATAATAGAGATAAGGAATTTAATTCTTAAAGTTAATGCATTGAGCCCAAGAGACTTATATTAATTAATCTCATCTGTTCTGTTGTATGATTCATGCAATGAGCCCAAGAACACGATCTGCCGGATTTGCTAATCACACATGCCGAACAAAAAAAATTCCGCATAATTATTTTGTAGTCCCTCAACAATAACATTAATCTCAGGTGTGTAACTATCCATAAGCGGTGACGAAAAACTCCCTCCGAATGATTTCCAAACATTTTTCAGATAACAGTATTTTACATGAGACGCAAGGGTACACATTGAGAGAGAGGCATACGAAGTAGCAGACGCAGCTATGGTAATTGGTACTTTCTATTTCAGAATATCTCAATCCTAGCACGCAAATAGAACGCCTAGAAAATAGTACTTCTTGAGCAAGTGAGCTACAAGCAGCAAGAGCTGTGAGACTTAAGTGCAGAACTGGTCGAGTTTCCTTCGGCTCCTACTTGGGTGCAAGGACTAATATTTTCTAAAACAGATTACTAATTGACTGAGAATATTTCGCAGCACTGTATCCTAATCTGAAACTCAGACTTTGCCATGAAAGACATAATAGAAAGAACTGCTTTTTGAACCAAAGTCTGTAACCATTGAATTGATCCGGTAAAAAGTAATTAATTTGAGCCTTCAGGAATATCATCAACGTGAAAACAGAAAAATACCCTGACACTGCTATAGTAACCAACCCCGCCTGCACAGAAAAAATTACTCAGATTTTTAGCTGCCCTCGCACGGGGAATCTCAAATTGCCGTCAAATTAAGAGAAGGTTGACAAGGGACGCACAGACCGCGGTGAGAACAGCATCTAGCAGCCGGCGGTGCATGCATCTGCTTGCGTCAAAGAGGGTTGTGGTAAAACTTTAAGCTGGATGGATAAGCTGATGTAGGATAAGCTCCGTCGCTGCAAGGATTTGTTCGCATCGTCAAGGAAATCCCGATTACCTGACCCGGCTAGCACGTGCTCTGCCTTCACGATCAAGGGGTGTGTGTGTGTGTGTGGGGTAAGTTGCCCTGGTTCTGAAACGTCATTTATTCTAGAAAATCAGAGGATTTCATACTAACACTGCAGTTGGTTACTTACTTAGCATGCTCTGATTATATCGGTTCCTGAAGAAAATTTGCGAGAGTATTCATATGAAGGAAGTGCTCTTCCTAGTAAAACAATTATTTTCGCTCCATACAGTGATGTATAAAATGCAAAGTTGCAATTTATTCAATCGTGGTGGTTATTGTCAACTGAAGAGGCGAGGAGGGGATGAAGGCCTCACACAGAGGAATCCATCCAACATGATCCCGTCGTCAGGCTAACTTTAAGCCGGAATTGTCAACATTGAGCTCCAGACTGCTCGGTGGCCACTTACAGTAGCATGTAGCTTGCGGAGCATTTGTCGCTGCAATGTTCGCGGAGGGAAAATACGGCAGAAGTGAAGAGGGGAAAAGCCTACAGTAGCTGGCTGGCGTACGTGGGTCCATGTCTGGAAGCTTAGTGGCTTCGCGAGCAGTCTACGGTAGGGCGACTTGTAGGCGAAAGGTAGAAGTGGAAGTAGAAGAAGAAGAAGAACTAGGGAGTATGTGTATGCGACTTACCATCTGGTTTGTTAAGGTAGAGTGACCAGGGAACAATCCTTCAAAGGCCTTAAGGGCCAGTCGGCACGAATTCGACGTCTAAAAGGTCAGGGTCTATTGCATTGAGTGATATGCAAAAGCTGCAGGGTAAGGTGAATCCATCCATGGTGCAGAGAGGATCGAATTGTAGATGGGGGCCCAGGAAACACGAGCAGTGTGCTGAGGAGTAGAGAGACCTGGTGGACCCTCGGAATTCAATTATCCCCAGAAGCTATCTATGGTGGACCCTCGGAACTCAGGATCCCCTGAAGTAAATCACACTGCTAATTGCTGCGACTGTCATCGTCCTTCGCCGTCTCCACTATAAAGGCGCCTCGGTCGTCAAACATTTCAAGCCTGCCTCGGTTGTCAATCTATCCTAGTGCGCTAAACAGAATATAGTCCAGGTCTGGTGAGCACTGAAGTTCCAAGAGTGTATTAAGTCACTCACATCCGTAGACGGTCGCAGGTTTCTAGTCTTTCAGTGTACAGCCGATGCTGAAGGTCCGAGCTCGAAAACCTCTAGAAAGAGCCAATTCGTAAGAATTCTTGAGCTCATGCTAGCATTCATTACATAGTAGCGTAGCATCATATTATAGCCACAGGAAGCTCAGACGGACCGACAGACCCTGAGCGAGAGGAGAGTCCAGCTGCAGCGATGGCACCAGAGGGTACCCGGGCGGACGAGGGAGAGGGTCAGCCCGGCTCGTCCATGCACGGAGTGACAGGACATGAGCCGTTCCCATTCATGGTGGAAACGGTAGCTGAGGAAGCGACGGATTTGAAAGGGAGGAAGTTCTCGTTACCTGTGGATTCAGAGCACAAGGCCAGGAAGCTTAAGCTGTATTCGTTCGCTCCACCTCACATGCTGACATTTCACCTGTCGTGGATATCGTTCATGACCTGCTTCTTCTCCACATTCGCCCCCCCTCCGCTCATGCCCGTCATCCGCGACAATTTGGGCCTCACGAAAAGCGATATTGCCAATGCTGGAATCGCTTCGGTCTCCGGCTCCATCATCTCTCGTCTCCTGATGGGCACCATATGCGATCTGGCCGGACCTCGATATGGGTGCGCCATTCTCATCATGGTCACAGCTCCTGCAGTGTTCTGTATGCCCCTCGTTTCCACCATCAACGGATTCATCATGGTGCGATTCTTCATCAGCTTCGCCCTGGCAACTTTCGTCTCGTGCCAGTTCTGGATGAGCTCCATGTTCAATGGGCAGATTGTGGGGCTGGCCAACGGGACGGCAGCTGGATGGGGAAACATGGGTGGAGGCATCACGCAGCTCGTAATGCCTTTGGTCTACGATCTCATTCATAAGAAATTCGGATCAGAGATCTTCACTGCATGGCGTCTGGCTTTCTTCGTGCCAGGATGCATGCACGTGGTCATGGGCTTGCTCGTCCTCGGTCTCGGACAAGATCTTCCGGATGGAAACTACGCAGCTCTCAAGAGGGCTGGAGACAAGGTCAACGATACATTCCTCAAGGTAAGCATTAAGCCATTCTTCCGTTTATTACAACAATTCTCGTGCCCACAGTCAGTGTCCAAACAGAGGCAAGGCTCGAGATAATCTGCACCTTGATAGGCTCATTAGCTGGACTTGAAATGCAGGAATTTCGAGCTTGCGGAATTCTTCTTCTTCTGGAATTATAGCTTTCGTTGCTAGCTTTTGTCGAATTGTCAAGTCTGTAAGCCGGAGATGTTTCTCTTTTGTCGATGCAGGTCCTGCAATATGGAGTCACGAACTATCGCACATGGATCTTCACCATCACTTACGGGTACTGCCTCGGGGTGGAGCTCACCGTGGACAACATCATCGCTGAATATTTCTACGATCGTTTCGATGTGAATCTCCACATTGCTGGAATCATAGCATCGAGCTTCGGGCTGATGAACTTCGTCGCACGTCCGGCCGGAGGAATCATCTCTGACTTGACCGGCCGGAGGTACGGGATGAGGGGCAGGCTGTGGGTGCTGTGGGTCATTCAGACTCTCGGAGGAGTGTTCTGCATCGTGCTCGGCGTCACCCACAAGCTGACGGAGTCCATTGTCGTGATGTTGATTTTCTCCGTCTTCGTGCAAGCGGCGTGTGGAGCTACGTTCGGAGTCATTCCTTTCATCTCCCGAAGATCTCTGGGCATCATTTCGGGCTTCATCGGAGCTGGTGGAAACGTCGGGTCCATCTTGACTCAGGTGCTCTTCTTCTCGAGCTCCAAGTATTCCACCGAAACAGGCATCATGCTCATGGGAGTGATGACCGTGGCCTGCACTGCGGTTCTCTTCCTCGTCTACTTCCCGCAGTGGGGCGGCATGCTCTGGCCTCCCAGCAAGGCCACCGAAGAAGACTACTACGGCGGTGAGTGGAACGCGAGCGAGCAGGCCGACGGTCTCCATCGCACCAGCCTGAAATTCGCCGAAAATTCCAAGTCCGAGAGAGGCACCACCGCGTTCTCCGGCCTGGCCCCTGCCCCCGTCAAGCCCAGCGTTTGAATTGGAGGAGGGCCTCGTTAGGGAGTCCACTGTCGAGCTCCACGTTCTCTCCGAACTAATCCTGACATACGAAGCGGGAAAGAGATCCATAGCTACCAGTTGTAAATACCGAGTCGAGCTCTTTCAGTGGACTTGCACAGTCGACCTCAAAGCGTTACCGCACCTTCGAGAACCACACAGGCTTAGTTCACAGCTGCAAATCGATCGCCGAAGCTCGCAGATTTTGGCGAGTCAGTCTGTCAGAAAATAGACGAACTTAGACATGGAAACCCACTCGAAGCCTCCGATTAGGAATTCGAGGAGGGACCATTTGACAGGGCGAGCTTTTGGCACGAGCTAACATTTGACTGTAGGAAATGCCTCTGTTCTAGTCCCATGTGTCTCAGGACTTGTTGTCTCTCTCTCATGGGGGTCTAGATCTAGAAGAGTTGAGAGTTGGAATTTTTGGCCTTCTTTAATTTCGTGGTGTAAATCCCAGTATTCATAAGCTCGGTGAGCCCGATACTTTAGTAATAAAACTGCGCATCCCATCTGGTCCAGTCCAGATGGAGACACGACTTCTACTCAATTATACGAATGTGAATTCGGGGGTCTACTGTATCACACTGTATTCCGTCTTTTCCCTTCGAGCTTTCGATTCGAATGTTTATTTCCTGTCCAACTGACGAATTCGAGACGGTAATCGACAAAGATCACATGTAGGAATTTAGTCAGTGAAGGGGTGGCTATTTTCAGTCATGTCTTAACTCGTTCAACTTCTTGGGTCCTTATGTGTTCTTCTGCACCACGTTCTTCTTGTTTCGTGGCGCTGATTACAGGTATGTAGGCATCGTTTGTATCCTGGAAGTATTACAATTGAGCCAGCAATTCAATTCTTTTCCTGCTTGTCCATCTCAGGGCAAGACCAACCTTCCGAGTACAACGAAATTTTCTGTCGTTAACTTTGTGACTATGGTGGTATTTTGCCTTGAGAGTTCATGATAGCCTCTTGGAAGAACGACTGAGTCAATGCGTGCTTGCGAATCTTCAAGTAAACCAAGACAACAGTTGACCTTTATCTCAGGTTCATACGCATTTTGGACCACTTACGTCTTCGGTAATCACATACATTACTTACGCGATTTGCTGAGCTCAAGGGAAGGAGGCGAGACTTGTACATGAACACCGACAAACGTGGTGGACTATACGTAACCAATTACTGCACCTTGGACAGGCCCATCAGATTACTCGGTCATGTGAGTGATTTGCTAGAGCCCAGGCCATTTATGAAAAGCGTTCCAAGTAAGGACAAAGAAGGAGCCACGATAAAAAGGACCGAAAAAGGCACGTAGGTGCTACAAAGCACTTTTCAGGACGGATGTGAAAGAACCTGTTCCGTACTGATGAGAGCCTCACTTTTTATCCGACTTCTTACGAGAGCGATCATTGGTGGAAGCTTCACTGGAACAGAGCAAGATGTAAATCCTCTAACTTCTGACAGGACCTTGGGCCGTGGAAGTCAATGATCGGCGAGAGTAGCATCCCATATGGGTTTCATCCTGCTTTGTTGCCACGTTTGTAAAAAGATAAATTCGATTGTGGAGGATCACACGGCTTGCAATTTATTGACTGAAGTGCAAAACGAAAAATGCACACAGGGAAAGAAGAAAACGAAAAAGAAAAAAATACAGGAACTTTCATTTCAAATCGATTTCACTTACGCCACGAGTGCCAAAGTAAGAATATATAAGTGAGAATTTTCCAAACTATAATCCTACACTTTATTGCTTTCTCAGTTGGATCCAGTTGACAGGTATGCATTCAATAACACGTAGACATTGAAGAAGCTTGTTGCAAAATTTCGAGGCAGGTCTGGAAAGTTCCCACTACCATCCAATAATTAGTGGGGACTTCGGGCCTCCTTCCGCACACACGCGAGTTGGTCATCTACCCATGAATCAACCTTGTTTCCCTCCTGGTTTTCAAGCTCCTGTAAATCAAAAGGGTAGCATCCACTTCTGCGATGACTGAGTCTCTGAGAGGCTGATTGCTCTCGAGGAAACGAAGGCTAATTCAGATTCGAGTAAAAGATATTTGAACCTAGGAGATGGAGAAGAATCAGAGTGCTACACTCGAGGTTGGAGAGCGTCGTCGAAGAGTGCATTGTGTGGGTGATGGATAACTATGCCAGGGCAACTGGACGTAGAAGGAGACAACGCTGAGAGAAAAGTGGGCGAATCAGGAATGCAGGTCCACAAGGACCGAGCTGGGTCAAGGTCAAAACCGACAAGCGTGGGCAGCTTTCGAGATTATGACAAACAAGATTATGGCTATAATAATTCGTCACGGCGGTCAGAGACAAACATCACCATTAGCAAGGAAGTGGGAGCGAATGAGGCGGCGTAGTAAAGATAAGAGAATCCTTATATCTCTATCGTGGCCTGACCCAATCAGAGTGGTTAGCAAACAAGCCAACGCGTTGATTATTTAGTGATCTCTGTCCACGATCGTAGTCATTCGTAGTTCCTCATTATCCTTCTCTTGAGAGTGAGACTCCTGAATGGCACTCAACTTGTTGAAACTGCTCATTTTCAGCACAAGTTTTGATTTGTTGCGACTGTATGACCGTGTCTATCTGCAGCTGGAGACTTTGACTGATGTTGTGGATCACCAATTCTTTTTCCAATGGCCGCAGGTCATTAGCGTCAGCACGGAATATAGAACAGACATTTGGAAAGAATTACGGATGTAGATCGAATTGTCTCAACTTCATCGTCCATCATCATGAGCACTCTGTACAGTGCCTACCCCTGCTGCAAAGCAAAGCAGTTAAACCCAAATATGACACTAACATGAGGCCTCGAGGTCTGTGAATGTCCGCTGTGTATTTTGGGACATGTTAAGCTCGAGTCGATTATGAAAAATGTCGATTCTCAAAGAGCTATTTTAGGTACAATGAGAAGCTCACAAGTATCCTGTCTCAAGGCTAATGCTTCATCGATTACGCGATCGGTGTCTCGTTACACCTTTGAACAGAAGACAATGGATTTTGGAACTTTGTGATATTTTTAGCTCGGAGTAGTAATCTGATGGGATTCCTTCGTCGCCATCTGGTGCCACTGTTGCACGAGCCTTGAAGCACGAGCCAGAGCACAAGTCAAAGTCGATTCAGAAGAAGAATCGTCGCCAGCGGTGCAAGCACACCAGCGCTCGCATCCTCCGCCAGATTGATATCTCTCGACGGGATAAGGACCTGCTGCTGCTGCTGCTGATGTTCAGTCATGGGGAGTCTGAGCTTTGGAAACCCGTGCAAGCGGTACCACGTCTGGACAAACACGGCTCCGAATCCACGGCCACATGAGAGGGCTTACAATGAGCACCGTGCTCTCAGATCGACCAAGATACAACCTGATCAACAAAAAGCTGTCGGCATCATCATGCATCACGACGGGGTAATTCTTGACGTCAAGTGGTCGGGTCTCGGTGATGCGGCTACTGGCAGCAGATGATCGTCGACGAAGGTGGGCACGAAAGGGCGATCGCGGCGCCTGGCGAGCGCCTCGAGCCCAGACGCTTGCGCCTTGTGACTCTGGTCGCTGGAATGTGATTGGCCTGCAGGCAGGGAAAGTTGAGGCCCGAGGTATTATCAGCGGCTGAAGCGGAGTATCGAGCATTCGAGGTGCCGATGCCCTCGAGCTCTGGCTGAGTGAGGCTCAGGCTCATTCCTGCTCATGTACGCGACGAACCGTGAGAGCTTTATCCGAACGCAGCGGCTGCTATCGATGTCTGGAGCTCATCTCCCAGCTCTGTCTCTGTCTCTCTCTCGCTCTCTCGCTGAGCTAAGCTGACCCGTGCTGCAAGCCGGGTCTCGATGGACTGTCGTCATCGACCGAGCACGTGTCCCACCGATCGATGAAGTCCTCATTTGTCACGAGGTCTTGCCACCGACACATACACTGACACTGACACGCTCTTAAACGCAAGCTCTCCTCTCTTTCAGCGTTTGATTCTTCCTTCCGTCACTCGTGGACTGCTTTTCGGAGGATTCCTCTCCTGCGGTGGGCGGCTAATTATATGCGGGCAATGGATCCCGCATGAGCAAGCTCATCGCTCGTTGCACCTCCCGGATCCTTCGTTTCATCGACATGGCGCAGAATAAATTTACTGATTACAATGTCCGAAAGACGCCGGGTTTCGGAGTCTTCAAGCATGCGTGAAGGAGGTTCCCAGATTGAGTGTTGGACTCAATTTTGTGGAGCCTACCATGTATGCTAGTCAATGAGTGGTTTTCCATCCTGAGCTGCAAGCAAATATCAAATCTAAATGATTAGCGATCGGACCCACTCTCCATGGCTGACCACTCTTTCCGATGGTGAGCTCCCATGGAGTATGAGTGGCCTACCTACGCCATGGGAACGGCCTGTTGTTATGATTAGAAGCTATTCCGAGTCCGGAATTTAGCTGCTAAATGCTAAATTCCCGACGAATAAGCTTCGCACACAGACAGTCACAATCTTCAGAATTCCGTCCAGATATTCTAAAGGTGAGACTGAAATTGGGAAGCCCTGGCGTGGAGAATCATGAGAGCTATTGCAGTGTTGATGGATCGGGGACATTGGCGCCGCGTCCGACCAGCCCTACTGGGGTTTCAAGGCAGGTCTAATCGTCGCGTCTCACACGTCCCCTGCGATGAAGTCCGCGTGTCCAGACTCAATAGCTTGATGATCCTACTCTAGCGGACAGGAATCGATTCGGCATATCTCTTAGGAGATGTAACCATTCCGGGAATGGAAAGATTCATCGACTCGCCACAAACGCTGGAATGAAAATGTGCAGACGGCTGGTCTGAGAAGTGGCGATCGATCACGCACGAGTCTTCATTCGATCTGTATTGAAAAGGAGTATCAGCCTGATTAGTCGGGAAGCCCGAATTTGTACGAGGTGCATTCGGAAGAGGGCGTACGTGTGTATGTCCAGAGGCCTCGGCCCAGCTTCACTGACCAGATTGCCGTACCGCAACATCTTTGGCTTCATTGGCGGGTCTTAAATTTATAAACACACAGAATCTTGTGCTATGTTCTTTGTCATCATCTCTCCAGCCACTGCGGAAAGTACAGAGCAGAGGACGAACAGGGACGCTCCCAATCTGCTTCGATTGCTCTTCAGGACTAGCTGCTTGCAGAAAGACGACCACAGGAAGTTTCTGCACCATTGCTGACTCCTGATTCCAAAGCTGTGTGCTGCCACATGATTGGTACTGCATTGTACCAGCCAGGTGGTAGACGCAGTGACGTCCAAACGCCAGGACATGCATGTGGATGTGCAATCGAAGAAATTTTCAATTCAATTCTACGTTCATCGACAACCTCATGCCAGTGGTGTTGCAATATGCTGATACATTGTCGTGTTCATAGTCCAAGGCTTAGGATCCCAAAATACGGGAAGCATGGTGCTTGCGGACGAGCTCATGACTTTTAGTTCCAGCCTATATGATTCTCCAAAAGCTCCGAAGATAGGATCCAGCTACACAGGACCCAACGAATACTAACCCGTACAGCAAAATCTAGGGGAACATTGGGAATCCACATGTTCCTTGAAATCATGCTCTCACCATGAAATCCGTGCTCTTTTGATTGTTACTGAGATTAGCAGACTTTTAATATGCAAGGCTCAAGTGTGTCAGTTGCCATCATGTCAGTTCTTCTCACGGCCTGGGCAACGCTTCATTGGCTCCAGCTGTGTAGGATAATAACCTCCCGGGGACATCGGCTGGCGTTTGCTCCAGTTTTTTTACACAGTGTGGGCCATATGGTCGTGTTGACCGTCGACCACGAGTACACTGTAATATCTGTATTGCCAAATCGAAAAAGGGCCCCAATACAATACACTACGGTGGTAGAAGAGCTACGTTGTTCGACAGGATGATGATGATGCCAGAGTATAAGTCCTCCTGTCGAAGGAATATGACTTGTATTATGTAAGAGATTATGCATTATTGGTTCTATCAGGACTCCAATTTCTTTGTTAATTTAGAGGGTTTATCAGGAAATCCTTTGAACATCAAGAAGTACTGCACTATGTTTAAAGAATCCAATCTACACGTCAAGAGTTAACATAATGTTTTGCATGTTTTGTTTTCACTATTCATGTTGCTTAATCTATGAAATACTCATATCGAATCTAAAATCGACTAGCCCGCCTATTTTATCAGCACTGAATGCAATATTGTTACCTAGCTAGCTCAATTTTCTGTAAGCTCACCTCTCCATAATTATTTACTAGGAAAAACAGCTCAACTTACGTGCTTAAAGCTTAATATGTTAAAGAGAGATAGTTCAGCAAGCTGTTCGCAAGAGAAATGTCGGAATATGACTTTTCGGTCATTTTACTCCGACGTCCCTCTTCAGTGGTTCGACCTGGGGATCGATACACCATGCAATCACTGAGCTGGAATCTTTGCGTTGAGATCATGAGCTCCGTGGCTATGGCTAGGCTGAACCTGAATACTGGGTGATTGCCTACGAGTTATTAGATCGCGAAAGTGCATGCAGTCCTTCGACAATTTGTAGTGATATGTGTTTACATTCTTGTGAACCAAATTAGCGTGAGTTTTAATTATAAGAACCCATAAATTTTAAAAGAGAAAATTGAGGTTCCACTAATTAATGCCAGAAGAATTCCAAAGAACTCCTTATTGCCATTCATGGAAATGTCACATGCCTCTTACTCCTAACAGATGGATAGCACTGACAACAGTGGCAAGGTATGGATGATAACACAGTAGTTGACTGAACGTGAACGGTGTCTCAAAAGCTACCATACCAAGGGACCAACGTACAGCGAAACTACAACTGGAAATGGTATTGCTTTTAGGAGAGAACAAACGGAGGATATAGATCCAGCACTGTGATTGTCATTGACAGATATTTCCTGGCAAGTCGATGCTTACATCTAAAAGAGCGCATACTCTTCTATGCCTGTCATCAGTTCAAATCCCATAAATAACCAATTCATAGACTATGCTGATTGGCAGCTGGTGAGGAGATGAGGTATGACGATTCAAGAGGTGGGATGATCTGGGAAAGGATGGGAGCAATAGGATTAGTCTTTAGAAAGAAAGAACATAACAACACTGACCTTGGGAGACCGAGTGATGTATCAAGAAAAATGGGATTACCCCATCATTTCGCTGATGGATAAAACAAAAAGTTATGACATGGGGCAAGAGCATATACACCCGGTAGTACGATGAGTCGACACATCCATCTGTAATAAATGTAGAGCTTTTTAAGTGTAGGTCCATAAGTGGAAACACATAGCCTGAGAAGGGTAAAGCAATAGTAATAAGACCTTTATAATTCTTCATATATGAATATACTGAAAAAAATTCATTCTATACTAAAAACTGGAAACTGAAGGAATCCCTGAAATGAGAAGCGAATATGTAACGAATAATATGTAAACTATGAAAAAAATTACAACGGATGTTTAGAGAAGCAAAAAAAACGTTTCGAAGCTTTCTCTACAAGAACAGTTGCATCAATTCCTTTATTTTGATACTGTTATGATAAAATCTTAAACTTCGAGAGCATGAGACTCTTATGATAATATAAATAAATTCATTAATTAAATAAAAGAAAAATAAAAAATATATATAGAGAGAGAGCGATGTCCGCTCAGCATCACCCAATCCGTTCACATATTCAAACAAATTCCACTCTTACAGCGATTGTCAAATCATTAAGTTTTGGCCATGGCTCCAATTGTATCCTTGCAGAAGCAGCTATGTAATTGTTGCCCGTGGAAGGTTGTCCATGCAAAATACATGAACCCAGTAGATCGTTTTTACTGAACATTGGATAAGTTTCTCCTTTAAAAAAACTGAATCTTAAGTATCATGGTGGAGAAGATGAGAACATATTTCATTATAAAGGAAGCAAGTATATGAGATGCAAGCACTACGCAGAAAGCCACGTTACCTGGAACGACTTTCCCTTTGTGCTCGGTCGTGCGGTAGTGTCAAGAAAGGAGCCGAACTTGAGGAACTATTCAGATAAACTCGCATAGACAATTAAGAACATATAAGAAGCAACGTACGAAGGAACCAATAAAGGTTCAATATAAGTACAAGAAAATGCTAGAATATAATCACTTTCCAACCGATTATATACAAAAAAATATTCAAATGGTCTCCACTTGCTTCCATCATCACAGCAACTGTCAGGTATGTCTTGTCATGCATGCAAGTGCCGAAACGAGTGCTGGGCCCAATGAACCTCTTGTGAAGGACAGACTCGCCAAATTAAATTGCTGTCATGGTCCCTGTATGCTTACAGTGAGTGCAACCAAAGAACAAGCACTGTTTCTGTACATGTAGTAACTTCTCAAGGTGTATGTTCCAAAGCTCTTGGTGCTTACTACATTTAGAATTTTGATCTCAAGCTCTAGAGCGCTTGAGATGCACACTGACCACGAGGTTTCAAAAAACCTTTTTGTATTTAGTTCTCTACCAATGTTTGTCTGCTGTTATGCAATGAAAGATTTTTCAGATGGACAGATTTTCTGACGAGATCCATGCAGGTATGGAAGTCGGAATATTTTCTCTTCTACAGTGCCGATGACTCATGGTGACATACAGTCTAGCGTACAAGAGACCTGACCAAACTCCAGACTGAATTAGATTTGGAGAACTAGATTATTAAAGAATCAGTATCTGAGTTCTCTCAGCCGCAAGGATTGTAAAACACAAGAACTTAGGAATTGATACATGGAAAAGGCAGAAGGGAAGGCCCTTCAGCTGCAAGCAACCAATCGACGCATAAAATTCCTGTGCACTCATTCCTTACAGAGGCATACAGTGTTTCTGCCATTCAACGCTGTTTTCTTAGTACCACATTCCCACAAGCGTGTTAGCTAAATTTTCAACCTATTCTCAGTTTGTGAAAACCATGATTAGTCAAATCTCCAAGCTTTTTCTTTTAAAGCCAGAGGGTTTCATTTACTATAAATTTGTGCGATGATTGAGGACCCCAGACACTAAGTCTCCCACCAGGACAATCTTCAACAGCTGCGGTGAGTACTGTTGGCTCGAATTTGAAATGAGAACAACTGAGACTGCTGCACTAAAACTCAGATAAGGTGATTATCGTTGCAATAGTCTCGTTTCGGTTCGCACAAACACTAATTGTGGTTTGAGAGTAACGATTTCATCTGGTGAAGTGGAGAACATGGATTGATTGCGTAAGCAGTTGCCCTCCAATGCTGAAGAGAACAGCGATTCCGCTGCCTTCCGGAGGTTTAGATCTCATGGCGGTCCTTCCAAATCTCCGGGGGTCATGAGGAAGGAAAGATCCAAGGAACTTTTGTTTGTTGCCGGACGAAGAAGCTCGGGATGTTGGCCGAAAGAAGCAATGCGGATCAAGTATTGATTAAAAATTTAGATCTCGGATTGGTACGGTCGGTCTTCAGTACTTAAATTGCACCACGAGAAGGATCTAGTAAGCAAATGCAATCCATTGTTCGCAGATGTCTTACTCACTCGAGAAGTCCTGCATGCTTGAATCATAGGCCTCGAAGGTTTGAGTGTTGCAGGATTTCCAAGAGTAGAAGCATCGTACAATGCGGAGTCCAATCTTAATCGTAATCGTCTGATCTGCTGCTCTCAGCAAATCAGCTCGACTCAGCTCGAGACATACCAAATCCGGCGAGATCCGTAACCTCGTCGGTGTCACTCACATTGTGCAGAAGCCCACGGACGTCTAGCAAGCTAGTCTCGATGGCGCCCCACAATGAGCACCAGAGTCAAGGAATCACCGGATCGCCCGTACTGCCAGTGCCCAAGGACGTCATGGACGAGCTGAGCTCGGCACAGGCGACAGATCTCAAGGGCAGGCCGTTCGCGCTCCCGGTGGATTCCGAGCACAAGGCCAAAACTTTGAGGTTGTACTCGTTCGCTTCACCTCACATGCTCACATTCCATCTGTCATGGATATCGTTCATGACCTGCTTCTTCTCGACCTTCGCGCCACCTCCGCTCATGCCCGTCATCCGAGACAACCTGAATTTCACCAAGGTGGACATTTCCAACGCAGCCGTGGCGTCGGTGTCGGGCTCGATCATCTCGCGGCTGCTGATGGGCACCATCTGCGACCTGGCTGGACCTCGATACGGGTGCGCCATTCTCATCATGGTCACAGCTCCTGCAGTGTTCTGCATGCCCCTCGTCAACAGCGTGACGGGATTCATCATGGTGCGCTTCTTCATCAGCTTCGCGCTCGCGACGTTCGTCTCGTGTCAGTTCTGGATGAGCTCCATGTTCAACAGCAAGATCGTCGGGCTGGCCAATGGCACGGCGGCCGGCTGGGGCAACGTCGGGGGCGGCGTGACGCAGCTCGTCATGCCGCTCGTCTTCAGCCTCATCAGGCACCAATTCGGAGCCGAGGAATTCACCGCCTGGCGCCTCGCCTTCTTCCTGCCGGGAGTGATGCACGTCGTCATGGGGCTGCTCGTGCTCACCCTCGGCCAGGACCTTCCCGATGGCAATTACGCCGCTCTCAAGAGGTCGGGCGACAAGGTGAGCGACACCTTCGACAAAGTGTTCTGGCATGGCGTGACCAACTACCGCACGTGGATTTTCACCATCACCTACGGCTACTGCCTGGGCGTCGAGCTCACCGTGGACAACATCATCGCCGAGTACTTCTACGATCGGTTCGACGTGAACCTCTCCACCGCGGGAATCATCGCCTCGACCTTCGGATTCATGAACATCTTCGCTCGTCCCCTCGGCGGCATCGTGTCGGATTTGACCGCGCGCAGGTTCGGCATGCGCGGGCGGCTCTGGGTGCTGTGGATCATCCAGAGCCTGGGAGGAGTGTTCTGCGTCGTCCTCGGGCTCACGCACCAGCTCACCTCGTCCATCGTGGTGATGCTTATCTTCTCGATTTTCGTTCAGGCGGCGTGCGGGGCCACCTTCGGAGTCATTCCCTTCATTTCCCGAAGGTCGCTGGGCATCATCTCGGGGCTGATCGGAGCCGGAGGCAATGTGGGCTCGATTTTGACTCAGGTGCTGTTCTTCTCGAGCTCCAAGTACTCTTCCGAGACCGGCATCATGCTCATGGGCGTCATGACGCTGGCCTGCACTTCGGTTCTGTTTCTGGTCTACTTTCCTCAGTGGGGCGGTATGCTTTTCCCTCCCAATAGCAAGACCACCGAGGAAGACTACTACGGCGATGAGTGGAGCGAGGAAGAGCGCTCGGCCGGGCTTGCGAATGCCAGCTACAAGTTTGCTGCCAACTCCAGGTCCGAACGAGGAGCCAGAAGAGCTGTGCCCGTCTCTGCTTGACACGCAGCGTCATGCGTCTTGGAGATCTCAGATCCCGCGACTGGATTCAGTAATTCTGCTTGCTCTCTTCCACGAGTCATGATCGTTTCGCGTTCTGCGCTATTGGCACTGCTACCTGTGGAGCAGCGATTGCGCGCAACCAGCGTGCCAGTAACTGCAGTCGAGCGAGATCGACAGAATGCTCGTGCATTCACGGTCTTTACTCTTGCTGTTTACTTCCTGAGACAGAGTGAGCGGCTCGTGGATGATTCGTGTCTCAGAAGAGGAATTTCCGCTTTGTTCTGGATTCGTCGACGGTGCATGAACCAATTCGTAAAAGCCTTCTGAATCGTATCACAGGATTTAGACTCCCTCCATTAAATTAGGTTCACGAAACGTGTGACTTTCTGTTGTAGCCGAGGTCTCGATGCAGATAAATTGCATCGATCATATTGCAGACTATCACCGAAAGAGATGTGAGACGCAGATGTTTAACCGTAGCCGATGGTCCGATATTTTTATATTTAAGAGATCACACAAATTTTCTACGAAGCATTGAGTCAGTCTGGGTATCTTTGAATGTGGTGACAATTACTATCCATGCTGAGAATCATGTCACAGCACACACTGAACTTCGAGGTTTGGCCAATGATGTGTTTCCTGATTATGAACAAGTCTTGGACATGGGGGAATTCGAGGAAAAATGAATGGGAAACTAATCACGAACTCCCTGCGACAAGGTAAGTACAGATTTTGTATCATGGTTTGCTACATTTACAGCTTATCTGACTGCACGTGACGACATGCGACTGCATGAATCTCCAGCTACTGCGTGACGCAGTAGCTGTAGATCGTCGCATGTGACGCAGTCTGCATCACATGGATCTTCCAATGTAATGCTCCCTAGTATCGAAGTAGAATACATGCCCGAAACGGGTCAAGTGGATATCAAAAGAGGTGGAAAGACTCCATATAATCAAGAGATACAAACAAGAAAACGAAGTGAAGGGAAAAGAGACGGGGGACCGACTGTTTTGAAAGAGTTTGTGTATTTTAATATCAAATAATTTATGATATCTGCGAGATTGAAGGATGAGGTGTAGGAAGTATCTATGACATCGTTCACCTCTCATATATATACCATTACCATTTATATATTATATGAGGAGTGAACACAGGGTAGGGTAGACGTAAGTTCTCTCTTTCTATTTCGGGCTCTAACGAGTGTGAGTGTGTGTATGCATCTGTACATATTATCGCATCATTCAGAGTGAACTGTTTTCGAATTTAATGTAGATGTTCGAAGTGAATAGGCACGTGTCAAACTTTAATCAATCATTGCTAGCTTGGTCTAATGAATCTAGGGTTCATGCGAGCTGGGCAAGGATTAACGTTATTGAATTCACTGGATACAATTTCCACATTGCTATAGGAAAGTTCATTCGATCTCACCAGACCTGATGGCGAGACCTGCAACAATAGTCACTTCTCGAATTTAAATATTCCGAGTATAAGTTTGGTAGCAGGTTTTATGCGGTCTAAAGAATGGCCACCGCAAAACAGATTGGACAACTCTGATCCTGGACTTCCAGCTTCCAAAATCTCGCTTGAATGTTCACAAACTATTATCTCCTTGTCTGATCCATCTATCTTCTTCTCGTACGCTTCGTTATTAAATTTGCTAATTTATTCTATGAAGAGGTGCTGCATCCGGGTCGCATAAGTGGCATGAAGTAGAACCTTTTGCAGCTGGAAAGTCTATCTCCCACGTCGATGCTTGTAATTATTGTAAACGTGATGCCAAAACGAGGTTTATCTTTCAAGTAGGAAACTTAAAGTATCATTCTTTGATGATGTTTCTTGTTCAGACGTACATAGTGTGATGCTAATTTTACCTTGCCTTGCATTAAGGAAATATATGTTCTATAGAGAATTCTTTTCCTCACAAAGAACCAAAGACTTTTAAACAAACGTCTATGAACGACTCTTGATCGTTGTTGAAGTTTATGGTATTTAAAGTTGTCAAAGACCGATTTAGTGAATTCCAAAAAAGAGTAATAACCGATCACATATTGCACTATTTCATTATTTCCATATCTATGAAATTTCATCTAGACTTGGTAAATCTAAATACATGCCAATGTATCCTGTGAGAGTGTAGAAGTTTATATGTTACACACGACTCTGTCTGCATCCAACAAGCAAAATAAAAGTACTCATTATATGAAGAGAGATGTGGTGTTCAATATATCTCATAGAAATAGTCACACTCACGTGCCATTTGTTGTTGGAGTGCTGGATATGCATTTCTGTCTATTACATTACTAAGTAAAACTATAAAATATCAAGATACAGTTATAAATGTGATAGTTACTAATCTTTACATAATTTGTATGATGTATGATAATATGAGTAAACCTAAACGTGTATAGGTGACTGAGTATTGTGGTAGCGGCCAATTTAGTTTTTCTGAACTTTTGTAGTAATATGTTGATTAAAGAGTACAGAGAAGATGAGAAAAATATCTGGGAGTAATATCAGTTTAAAGAATATCTTTGTGACCTTCATGTAAATCACATGTTTATATCATTTTTTAAGAAAAAAATGGTCATTGCTAAACCGAGTTAAGAGATCACGTTCAATTATAGACCATGATATACTCATCACATATTACACTTTGACTTTGAGACCTTTAGAGATTGTATATATTGTATGACATACAATATCTACATGGGCTGTTCTAATCTTATCTCCACCTCGACCGTCTCATCTTTATGCATAGAAAATGTAATTCCAAATTTAATTCCATTTGAGCAAAGCTTCGAAAAATTTTGACAAGTTTGGCTTGACTGTGTGAAGAAGTCAACACCACGACGTATGTCACATCTGCCTTCACCTTCGGGTGTCGAGTGACTCCGCTTCTGTCTGATCGGTAATGCCATACGACTAGTCTTCCACTGCGTTCTCTATCTGGATGAAGTCAGCAACCGCTCCTCCACGAACTTCTCGTTTCTTTCTGTTTGTTGTCTTTTCGACCTTCAAAGCAATAGCCTCGTTGGGTCACGGTTGAAAAGTGTAACGAGCGCTGGATTTTCTGGATGCAAACAGTGGCTCCCTGCAAGCACCCCAATGAACACTATATCAGTGACACTCAAATTTCACAGCGGTCAGAAACACCAGCACGAATCACGCGAGTCGTTATCGATCTCCACAGAACAGTCTACAAATTCCTTATCCTTGTTGTTTTCCCCAAGATTCTTGCCGTGCCAAACGCTTAACACTAAGAACAACAAATCTTAGTCTCAAATGGCGTCCAAGTTCAGTGAGAGCAGATGGACTCCTAGAGGACGACCCTTGATAACTGCATGGAAATACTCCCGTGTGGCATGATGATGAAATCCAGATCTCTGATTTGATAAGCAGAATGTTAAGTCAGTGTAGGGTCACCCTTGTTGGTCACTGCCTCGTCTTGGATGTGTTGGTTTAGCCATCATATGGGACGTGATTGTTGACTAAACCTGGGCATGAGAGGCTTCACTGAGCATGACATGGGAAACCGAGCCCTGCTGTGGAACATTCTTCCTGGATGAATAATTATGAACCGTCTGATTTCAACAGAGCCTCAACACTGTATATTCACGTCATCACTATAGATCCCGGTCTTGCAGTTTTGTACCGCACTTGTATTTTACCAGGGTGAGAGCAAATATAATGCTATCACCCGTTAGATATTACAGCTTCAATTATGTTATATCAGGTTGTGACTTCCGATTTCATAGACATGCCACAAAGTAATATTGAGAGATTGAGAACAAAATTCATGCCACTGAGTGCAACAAAGGGTACAGTCTTCACTTCTTTATTCCAATCTAATGACCACCAGATAAGACATTCTGCTCGATTTCAGTCTCCCGTAAGGTAAAAAACACCTTTTCAAGATAGTAACATAGATGAGATACAATGTCTTGGATTGGTTCATGACCAGCTCGGGCTTTGAATCCGTAGAGCTAAGTGTCAGGAAATTTGGAACAGTTTAAGGACATTTGAGTTATCATCAGGAAGAAGTAGATGGAAACAGCAGGCCTGAAGAGAGAGTATGTGCTCGTGCGAAGACTCACGTGACTCCGTTTCAGCATCTGTACAGAAATTCGGAAGATGAGATTGTGAAGTGGAAGTGTCTGTCGTGCAGGTCGTACCAGAGGTGATTCACATTATAGCCCATGAACAATCGACTTCTGCACACTTGCTGACTTGATCTTCCACTCTTGCAATCGACAGGGAAACCTGTGAGCGCACGGTCGTATAATGAGACAATTACAGGAAGTTCGGCCTTATCAATTTGTGCCACGACCGCTGCTTAGAGGAATTATTCAACGATCTGGAACTGGAAGTAGTCTAAGAATGGATAGCACGCGGCTTTCTCCTCAATAAACAGAAGGATCTTCCATGTCGCAGTTCAAAGGACAGGCGCTCATACACGGAGGACACCCGACATCGGTCACTGGACTGTTGACTCCATGTCGGTCGTGATGCATGTACACGGCTATGAAATGCGGTTGATCCTCCTCAGAGCCCTGCGTATGGCAAATCTAAGAGCCCACTTGCAGAAGCTCAATGCCGACAGACATCATACGTCCACGCGATACACATGTCGACCAATTCTCCTGTCTCGGTGATCAGTCCGATTCCTGTGGCCAGTGAGCCTGTCAAGGAGAAGGCTAAAACTAGCATTTTATAACAGTGCAGATGGTGAATTCGAGGGTCATCGCAGATCCTATCCAGCTGACGAGTCGCTTTGAAGATGATGGACATCGATTGGGTCCATCATGTTGTCGTCCAGCTCGCATCGTACCACGCTAGACCACGTGACGGTATGCAACATTTTCTTCTTCGTTTTTCTTCCCTTTTAGCCTATTTTAGAGCACGAATGCTCTACAGTACATCAACTGGAGTTGTGTTTTATTGTAATAAATAATCATGGGTGTGTGTATTATGCACAAACTGCAATGGACTTGTCGAGTTCGAACTATGATGCTTTGTCCATGCACATGTGATCGCCACGGTGACGACGACAAAGAGACAAGCTTGTGCAAATGAGGTTTCGAGATTCTCTCTCCCTCACGACTCGTCGCAGATTCAGCCGGACAAATGCTTTGTACACTCATTCCTCGGGACAAAGCTCTGTAGCACTCCTACTGTTATCCGTCCATATCCTTAGGCGAGACACATCTGAACCGTCACGTGCCATTTTCTAGGAGTGTGAGCAGCGCTGGACGACACACGAATTTGGAATTATGTCGTTCCTCGAGCTTCGGAATCCTCCTCCTTCGGATAGAATCACTTGTCTTGTATAATCAAGAGAAAGGAAAGTATACTGAAAGTCCTCAGCGTCCCTTCTATTGTACTCTCTTCTTGCAAGGCCTGGATGCAAAAAATCCGGCTTCCAATATAAGTATACTTTATACCTCATCATTATTCTAAAATAGTAGAGCAAGAGTCGTACTTTGCAGATTTTAATCAACATTTTCACAGAAAATCTTCTCTTATTGATTTTTTCTTCATATATATATATCCTCCAGGTGAATCTATCATCCAACGACAAGAACGCAGAGCAAAAATTTTAGCTACTAATTCGGGTCGAAATTTATATGAAACTTTAATTATGAATAGGGGTTTGAAGTTTTCTCAAAATGTCCTACTTGAGATATTCAATGGAAATGACATCCGTTAGATAACAACAATGACATGAGGTTCAAGTTTTAGAAATTAGAGCTAGTACAGATGACATATTTGTTTATTGAAGTTTCTCCAAAAACAAACATGGTAAACTGAAATACTTTGTTAAACACGATAGACTAGCTGCTCGCACCTTACACCGAAGGTAGTGGCTGAATATGAATATGAATATATATATATATATATATTTTTACATTTATATTCCTTAAAAATGTAATATGGTTGGGATTGTCAAGTTTTGTATCGCTTTTCAGGATCTTACGTAGATAAAATTGCTTTGAAAACCTTCTGCGTGATATTGCAAAACATCACGAGGAAATCAATGTTCTACGCTTAAGTGTGATACATTTAGTTCTGCATGACATGAGTGATCACTCACGCTGTGTTATACATTTTCAGACTTTCCGAAGTTTCATAAATATTTGTACTGGATATCAACTCATTACATATATATATATATATAAACCGAATCCGCCAAGAACATGGTGAAACACATTATAAGACAAGCAGATACGCATTCAGGGTCCTGGTGGCTTGAAATATTATCTCCCGACGAAAGTTTCTGAATTGCATATCCCGGTGTAGAACAACGTTTCAGGTTTACAAGAGCATACATGGTAACCGTGCACAGCGTCCACGCGCACAATACACATTCGGTAGGTCATGCAGCCAGCGAGCAGCTCCTTCATTTAAAGTACCTTAAATCCTCGATCTCTTGCTGTGTATGAGGTCACGCAATTTTTGGCCGCTTGTAAATGACACGTACCTGAATAAGTGATGAGACGAACTAAGTGCTTGCTGGTACACACAAGAATTCCAACGCGATACGATGCAACAGATAGAGCTCTTTGTTCGAAGAAACGCACTGCACTACAGAGCCCGACATTGGGTGCCCATACCCATGCCCATGGGTTATGGGTGGGTTTTGGGTGACATGCGTTTTCCAGGGGTGGGCACAAGTAATGCAAACGGCAGTGTTTGTCAAGATCCAACCAAGAATTTGCGTAATTTGAGTAGCATGGATGGGCATGGTCGGGCAGGGGTAATGCTATGGGTGGGCTTATGTCGCTGCTGATGGTTATGATTTGGTCTGGGTGCAGATTTGAAGTAAAATGTCGGGCTCTGCTGCACTAGTAGCGCCGAAACATAGAAAAGTCGTCGTCTGTGCCGCGGCAAATCGAGGAGTCGCTTTTATCATAGCTGGTACTAATCAGATACTGAGATTTCGATCAAGAAGGTAGTTCATTGCTGTGAAGCCATACACAAAATATATATATATATATATACATATATATATATTCACTGTCTCAGTCCACACCTATTCGGATGGTGTTATTTCATGGCGCCAATTATTATTGTACGCCGCAGTAATGAAGAACCTCTTAGCTTTTAGGCAAATTACTAATCTGTGAACCTATCTAAACTGTTTATTTATTTGTGCTGATTAAGTGGTGTTCAGATTTGCATAAATTTGAACTCTGAGTACAGTGAGCTCCTTCTACCTGCGAATGAGTGCTCTGCAACCTTCCCAACTCCTTTTGTTGTACACATGTATATTTGATAATCGTGTCATCAAATACCGGAACCACTTGTCTGAAGCGGTTTGGAATGAAAACGTAATTTAGAAATCCTCCACTTCATGTGAGTAGCTAGGATAGACAAAAGTGTATTTACTCATTGTTTTTATGTCATTTAAGTAGTATTGCAGAGCATGAGCGGTCAGATCGTTCTTAATCAATACCGCATTTTCAAGATTATACTAATATTTCTCTGCATTCTTATAGTCTTGTATATTGATTTGTATCCATCGTGCTGGTTGCTGGTGGCTTACGAGAGCTATGTTGAGAATGTTGACAATGTTATGATTATGAAGAAGAAGTTCATAATTCCAAAGCGAACAAAAGTCGTTAAGACATGGAGTACCTGATTCTAGAGTTACAGTAAGACACTCTTGAAATATCTGTCATGTAATAGTGATCGACCCAGTCTCGGCTGCCACCAAAACTACAAACATAAGGTAGATATCATCAATATCTAGCTCAGCGTTCGTTCCATCTCACACTTCTCAGATCCGAGACAATGACAAATGTGACGTAATTGAAAGTAGAGAGACGTGCATAGTCTCCTTCTGCTTCGACGTGTAACTGTTTGAAGCCGTCTCAGGTTGAATCAAAAGTACTCCTCTCATAGCCCTCAGAAGTTTCCGAAGGTTCGTTAATTTTCCTCGCTCCCCCGATTTCGTACTTCGCGCCAGATACAAGCATAGCCCCTGCACAAACATTTTTTCATGGCAGCTCTCCAGAGTTCCAAAACCTAGGTTCAGTAAACACAAAACGGTCTTCGGGTGGATTCAATTCAAGTCTACAGCTCCACTGATAGTTAATACAGCCATGAGTATGATTTCACCTCAGCCCTCTATTGCTCTCACTAGATGACTCCCATGGTACCAGAGGAGACACCTCTGTCATATATTTGTGTATATCAAGATGATATCTCTCCTCTTGTCTTTCTCGTATACTCTCGCACATAAGAAATGAGGAGAAAATACATCCGTTTTAGAGATGATTCTCGTATCAGACGCTGATTTGGGATGCGGAACGACAAAGCCAAGACTCCTGAGATTTAATATCTGATCAAATACTCCTTCCATAAGCAGATGGATCAGATAGTAAATCCCAGGAGGCTTGGTTTTCTCAATCCGCATCCGAAAGCAGTGTCTGATATGAGAAGATTAAACCAAGCCTAGTCCAGTGAAGGTTTAACTATGTAGTGATAAACAAGGTCCATGCATCTAACAGGAGTAAGTTTCTATTCAAGAATTTGTGTATGTACAAGTTCATAGAATCGTTCGTCTATGTCTATCTATGAACTTGTACATACACAAAGACCTGATCCTCGGATTTGGAAGGTGGCTGTTCGAGTTCATCATCTATGTGGTTCATGGTAATTTAAAAGAGACCGATCAACGTCCGGAATGATCGTAGTGCTTATGAAATTATTCGACTCATGACAATATGTTCATTACTGGCTGTAGCATAACGTCAGTGAACAATCCATCGGCATACCGGCTGACTATATGATGACGCAGTTGGGTACGTTTGCTACGTCTCCCATCACAGCCGACGGACGTGGAATCGATGGCAGATGCCAATTTGACTTTTGATACCGACGTGCATAAGTCCGATGGAGGATAGAAAATATCACTTAGCTGGAATCTATGGCAGATGCCAATTTGACTTCTGATACCGACGTCACTTGACTTCAACGGGAAGGGATTTCGAATTGTCGATCATGAGCTGAACAAATATGTATCTTAAGAACAGTTCAATAAGGAAGGAAAGACTTGTTTAACGTGCTCTCCTTCTAGCATATGGGTTCCTCCCTTCCTGATTTCATAAATAAATAAATAAATAAATGTATATATATACCCTGGGTAATACCGAACCTATAGTGGTCTACACATAACAACCTGAAATGTGCCTTGCTAATGTATCACACTCAGAGCTACAAGTTTGAAACACCAGCTAAGAAACTGACTGCATTTCGGTCAGAATGGAAGAAGGTTTAAATCGAAGCCCCTTCACAACGATCAGACCTTCGACTGGTTGACATGGATTGCAAACGTTAGAGTAAAATAACGGAATTCAAGTTCGTGAAGTGGTGCTGCAGTTGGTGGTGACGACAGTGCATAAGTTCTTTCGTTGCCATTCTGATCCAGCCCCATCGATCGAGAGTCACGCTCATGGACTCTCACGCTGTTCTTGTCGAGGAACCTCCAAAACACGCTGAAGTCTAGATACTTCAGCGTGTGACCTCCAAAATACGGAAGGACGCGGTCGATCGAGGTCAACACACATGGAGACGAATCGCATCAGATCACGTTTCAAGAGACTGAAGTTACAACACGGTTCCGCACTCGATCTCGTGGGTGACCCAATGCTCATTGATTTTAAGGACGAATCGTCCATAGATTCTCTTCCATGGGATCTCTTCATGAATATTTTAGGAAGACTTCACTGGGTTGACTACCTGCGATGTAAATTAGTCTCTGATTGGTGGAACTGCATTCTCAAGAATCCTCTTCTTAGCAGTCCGAACTCGGTGGCAATTTCCTCTTGCGAGGCAGACGGGCCGTGTTTGGTGGTCACCGACGGGAATGACATTTTTGTCAGAAGAGCCTCCAGCACTTGGCGTCTTCCGATTTCTGGCATTCAGCAATGGAAGCAGCTCCCATTGACAAGTCCGAGCTCACACCCTACTTCCGCCCAATGGAAGTTGATCGCCACGACAAATGGTCTATTTCTCATGTCCGCAGGACAGAATAAGCGCAAGTACCTCTTATGCAATCCGGTAACCAGAAGAGTTGAAGAATTGCCTCGTCCATCCAAACTGTTAGTGAGTGCTGAACTTCAAATGTCAGGAACATACGTCTCCAGGAGTGTGGAAATGGTGACTCCTATGGGAACTGGCGGCACGGAATCCAGATCTTGGCCGAAGGTGATTGCTTTCGAGCGTTACTCTGGTGGACGGGGATCTGATACCCTCAATATGTGGAGGTTTCTAAAATACGATGATGAGTCCAGTGCTTGGCAGGTGGTTTCCAAGCTTTACAACTTTTCCATCAGAGTTCAGAAAGTCACCACGACCGTCAGACTTGTACCCGCTGATTTCGCCGTCTACTACCATGTTCGAGAAGAAACTCAAGATGTGGAACTGGAAGAGAAGGAGGTCAAGCTCAGAAACTGTGCTACGGTGGGAGGAGAGATATTCATCCTCTTAACTTCCGTTAAAGGACCACGCCGCACGCCATTTGCGCAAAACACCGAATCCATCGAGGAATGGTTCAGCAGTGTCTTGTTCAAACTCAGGCCATGCAATCTCGTTGAAATCCCGTTAAATGGTCTGGACAGGTCACCGTATCTGCAATTGTTCCAACATGGGGGAATCTTATACATAGCGAGGGGAATGGCAGCCAGGGATTTAAAAGTGGATATATTGAGGCAGAATTCAGAGGGAACTTTGTGGGATGAGGTGACTACGATGCCAGACCGTCTGGTAGAAGAACTGTACAGTCTCATACAACCGGTAGCACTTTTTCGACTCCAGGTGGAAGGGGACTATGTATGTTTCTCCAGTGGATATAGCTTTGGTAGCTTTGGTGTGATTATCGCATTCCATGTACCGACGAAGATATGGGCACGGCTCGACGACTTCACTGCTCGGCTCCGTGAGTTTTATTCACACTCTCGTTTTGGGCCTTGGTATCCACATGGTCAGGAGTCGGACGATAGTTTGCAGCATTTTTTCTGGCAGCCTAGGCTAGATTCAAACTTTTAACTTCCGTCACAAACACAAGACTGGTGAATCTATCGCTCGTAGCTCACAATGAGACAACGGAATTAAGTATTCATTATGTAGGCGGATGTCATTCTTAAAAATGCAGCTGAAGTTTCTTGAACAATTATCAAATACTTTGGAATCTCTTCGTCCACACGTTGGTCACAGAATTTTCTCATTGCCTGAGATAGTACAATCAATATATTGGTTACATCCGCACAAATTTGGCATATATTCGAGTAACTTTGAATATAGCAAGGAATTACTGGATATGATTTTAACAGCACAAAACACAATTCTGACTTTGATATCCAAACATTGAACGATAGCAGAACTTAATCGAGCATAATCTGATGCCAAGGCCTCGCATGAAGCCCCACAATATGAAGTTCAAACACCATAATTCATAGCATCTCAGATCAATTGAACAGTATATGCCACTGCCAACTCTAGAAACCTGGCAATGTAAAAGTTATTTGCTTCTGGACTTCCTTGCTTCCTGATTCGAATTGAAAAGTTTCCAATCCAAAACCATCAGTTGCTCTTACAATTCATAAAAATGTATTTCAATGCAAATCAGAACTATTCAGATTTCTTTTTCCTAATCACTTTTGCAATAGGTGGGGTATGCAGCTTCAAGCGCATCTAGGCGAAAAAGGAATTGTCAGCTCTGCGAATCAGTAGCGCCCCACGGGCAGAGTCAGCAGCAGGCGAATTACTTGCGGTGGCGACCCAATAAGAAGAGAATCTAGAGAATGGATTCTGGGTTCCTGATTCGTGTGTGATATATATATATATATATATATATATATATATCTTCCTGCCTTGGTTATACTAGAAGCTATACGTGCATACACATAACGCACTGAAACGTGCATTGCTACTGAATCACACTCTGAGCTCCGAGTCTGAAACACCAGCTAATACACTAATATACTGACAACCTTTCGGTCTGAATGCAGAAAAATTCAAATCAAAGAACTCTTAAACCCATCAGAACTTTAATTCGTTGATATGGATTGCAATCGTTAGAGTAGAATAACGGATTTGATTTTCGAGTTCATCAAGTGGTGCTGCAGTTGGTGATGAGGATGGTTTTTCAGCTCATCGTTGCCTTTCTGATCGAGTTCCTTCTATCGAGAGTCACCCTCATGGACTCTCACACTGTTCCAGTCGAGGAGTCTTCGAAACTCCATGAAGTGTGGATACTTTTACATGTGACCTCCAAACTTCGGAAGGACGAGGTCGATCGAGGTCAACGCACATGGAGACAAATTACGTCAGATCATGTCTCAAGACACAGAAGTTAGCACACATATCCGCACTCGATCTCATGGGTGACCGAGTCCTCGTAGACTTTACGGACGAGACGTACATAGATTCTCTTCCACTGCATGTCTTCATGAACATTTTGGAAAGACTTTACTGGGTCGACTACCTTCGATGTAAATTAGTTTCTCATTCGTGGAACTCCATTCTCAAGAATAATCTTCTCAGAAGTCGATCTAAGTGGCCATTTCCTCTTGCGAGGCAGACGGGCCATGTTTAGTGGTTACTTACGGAAATGACATTTTTGCACGAAGAGTCCACAGCATTTCGCATATTTCGGTCTCTGGCAGGCAGCGATGGGACCAGCTCTCATTGAGAAGTTCGAGCTCACACCCTACTTCCACCCAATGGAAGTTGATCGCCACGACAAATGGTATCTTTCTCATGTGCACAGGTGACAATGAGCGCAAGTACCTCCTATTCAACCCAGTCACCAGAACAGTTGAAGAATTGCCTGTGTGCCAAAACTGTTAGTGGGTGCTGAACTTCAGATGCCAGGCACATACATCTTGAGGACTGTGGAAATGGCGACTTCCTCAGTTCCTCAGACTGAGGCTCGTTCTAGTTTTTTTCATATTTGTACTCACATCGTGCATTTCGTGGACAGCTGGGCTTCTGTCTAATTCATCTTCGGTTACAATAAGCGATCACATTCTGAAAACATTCCGTCACGAACGTGCTTGTCACAAATTTTGAGATCGAGTCACAAAATTTCACGTCCAGTTGTGTCGGCTGTGGACTGAACTGCAGTGATGCCCCAACTAAAGCCATGAAGACAACACCCGAGCAAAGTCAGTTCAAAAGTGCAAGATGTTTTTCAGAAGCTCGAGGAAGCACCGAAAATTTTCTCCTGTCCCAAATCAAAAAAGGACGAAAGTCATGCACCTAAGGCGATCCGCTCCCAATAACCGTCTCAACTCAGTGCACCCACAAAGATGCTGGACTTCTTCAGCATAGTGCCCTAATCATGAGCTCGAAGTGAAGTGAGCTGTCCAGATCGGCTGTGTTAACAGGACCAAGTATACGACTTCATTGTGTCATGCTTCGAATTGATAGTTTTTTGAAGTTTGCCACTAGTGTGCTCAAATTATCTCCCCAGCAAACCCTGAGAGCGAGCCTTCGGCAATTCAAACTGGAAATGAGGCAGATGCGTCTTTGTTCCTTATAGTACACGTCTACATTCTCTCGATCTCGTAATCTGCATCATGAGGTCACCTTACCAACTAGAGCTGTGTGTCCACGAACCAAAACAACACAAATAAAGAAGTGGATATTTCTAAATATTGAATATTTACTCCCCCAGCGCAATTATAGGGTGGATATAGTTAAGCTGAAGATCGTAATGGCGACAAATACCTGCAAAATCAATGCTTCTATCCGCCTGCTGCTTTTCAGTACAGTAGACACTCACTTAAGTCCGCACCCATATAAATCCGCATCCCGCCTAAGTCCGCATTTTTCAGACGAAATTTCAAGGATCAAAATACTAGAGTTTTATTATCAGCAGAAGTCAAAATTTTGATTGATGACGGTGATGCAAAAAAATCTGTTATAACTTGAAACGAATGTTTGCATGTATGAGGCAACATGGTGGTTATCTCACTAGAGATTAGCTCTCTCTCGGTTTTGGCCCTAACGTTGGATCTTTTAATAATGGCTTGTATCTAAGTCTACTGGTATTCATTCTACTTCCTATTCGTATCCCATGCGTCTCGAACCCAGTTTCATTCTTGATAAGGCTTCACTCATACCAATCTCTACTGACTTACCAATATCTTAAATATATTGTCTCGGTTAATTACTATATCGACATGAGTTCGTTGTATACGATGTTGAGAAAGAACAGCACAAACTAATTGTAAAAAGAATTGAGTCAGATATTGACGATCCTTTTCCTTAACAAATGCAATACAAGGACTATTAGTAATGTCAATGTTTACCTCTAACCACAGGGTTAATAGTTTTTTGGAATGAAGCGAAGGGTGGTACGAAGTATGACTACGTCTGGAAAATCAATAGAATGTTGCCCGAGTCTTTTCTCGTTATTAATACCGTTTGACCATAGTTAACATAGAAATACCGCGGAGATTTTGAAGTCACAAGATGAGATATAACTAAAGTCCGCATCCCAGATAAGTCCTCACAAACCTTCTCAGATCAAAGTGCGGACTTGACCGAGTTTCTACTGTATGGAATTCCTTCAGATAAAATTGGCCAGTTTCAACTCGAAGTGGACTGTTAATATTGGCCTGACTGGAAATCCTTCTTGTACTGACATTTGGAAGCGAGCCGAATCCAGTCCATCTTTGTAATCCTGCTACTTTGCTATTCAAGACTAAAACTAGCAGCTCAGTTAAAGCTCTGCCTACCGTTGTGGCTAGATGTGTAGAAATCAAGGGAAATCCCTTGCGTCACTGAAGAAGGCAAAATTCCCCGTTACACAGAGATGATACAGGTAATCTGCAAAAGACCTATGTGATTCACTTCTCGTGAATAATTGCCATTGTCAGGCTAACCTGTCTAGGGCCAACAACAAATGATTTTATCGAGATTCAAACCTTCAAAGAAGAAACCTTAGCCACGGCCGGAAGAAATGCGATTGACGAATTATGCCTGATTATATGTGAAAGCTGCTCACACTCGTAGATAATCTGTTGGGTCTAACAAACTCGCAGCAGTGGCTCCTGGTAAAATCTGGGAACTGACGATATTGCGGAAGCTTGTTTTCTTGTTGGAGTTGATGACGGCGAATTGTGAAGACTTGTACAAGCCCAGCTGTATCGTTGCCTTTGCTTTCGTCTGAGCCACATGCTTTTCCAAGTCCCAGAAGATTTTGTTGTTGAAGTGCACGAACGAGGAGTTCACGTGAGCCCACCTCAATGCTCCTGGGTGTTCGTTGGTTCTTCTATGCACCAGGCTGATATCTCCTCCAATGATTATTCTTTCTTCTTCACATTGTGTTGACTTGATGTTTCTTCTGGTCGAGACTTACAGAGCCCATCTTTCACTCTGGACGTGAAGGCTATATGAACTGAAAGTTCTTGCTGTAACTTACACTTACCAAATGACAGGTTGATGCCTCCATGATTATCAATTAAGATAATCAATCCATATATCAAGTAGCGCAAATCGTGCAACAATCCATGCACCGATCATCGTCACCCACCTTCTGCATTACTCTGGAGCTTCTCGCCTGTTCAGCGCATAGACCATTGGCTAGACTTTTCGCTACTTAAAATGAAGGCATTTCCTTTAACAATTGATTAATCTGACAAGCGCAGAACCATCGCAGCACGCTTCATGATTTAAAAGCACAATCGATTGAGTCAAAATTTAAGGGGAAAGTGAGTCAAGTTGTACCTCAGAATCCCTTATTTGGGTGGACTGTCGTGTAAATCTTTTTCATTTTTATTCGACGAGCGAATCTTGCGACCCATCGACATCATCAAGGTCTAGTCGATAGGTCAGCAAATGATCGTGATAGTTTCCTTTAGTATTTTCAGGGATCGGAGCTCCTAGAGCGTAAGGATCTATGAGTTCTTACTCTCAGCCCCTCTTCGTTGTCAGACATTCACACTGCAATTGAATCAGGTCAGAAGAATGGAATCGGTGCATGTGGAAAGAAACAACAAATATGATATTAAGCTGTGCAATATCGTCTTTCCGACAATTTCGGACTGTGTGCAGGAAAGTGAAGGACTACAGAATTGTGGTATGGAGCAATTTCTACCGAGTTTAGATTATGGAAGATCCAAGTTATCCCCAAGAAATCACAT